TGCTGAAAAACTTGAAGTTGCATGATTCTATGAAGACCTATTTCAAATCCTAAAAGATGATGCTGTGAAAGTGCCACACTCAATATGCCAGCAAAGTTGGAAAACTCCACAGTGGCCACAGAACTGGGAAAGGTCAATTTTCATTCCAGTCCCAAAGAAGGGCAATGCCAAGGAATGTTCGAACTACTGCACAATCGCAGTCATCTCACACACCAGCAAAGTAGTGCTCAAAATTCTCCAAGCCATGCTTCAACAGTGAACCGTGAACTTCCATATGTTCAAGCTGGATTCAGAAAAGGCAGAGGAACCAGACATCAAATTGTGAACATCCGTTAGATCATCGAAAAAGTAAGAGAGTTCCAGAAAAACATCTACTTTTGCTTTATTGACTATGCCAAATCCTTTGACTCTGTGGATCACAGCAAACTGTGGAAAATTCTTCAAGAGATGGGAATACCAGACCACCTGACCTGCCTCCTGAGAAATCTGTATGCAGGTCAAGAAGCAATAGTTAGAACCGGACACGGAACAACAGACTGGTTCCAAGTGGGGAAAGGAGTATATCAAGTTTACATATTGTCACCCAACTTATTTAATTTATATTCAGAGTACATCATGCGAAATACCAGGCTGGATGAAGCACAAGCTGGAATCAAGATGCCAGGAGAGATATCAATAACCTCAGATACACATGAAAGGTTGTTGTTGACCCATGAAAAGACGCTGGGATTTTTGGCCTCCAGAGGAGAAGAATTCAATCTGGGGCCAGAGATGAGGCTTGATCACTCAGAGCTTTTGTGTAATATGAAGTTTTATTAAAGTATAAAGGAGATAGAGAAAGCTTCTGACATAGGCATCAGAAGGGGGCAGAAAGAGTACCCCTCCTGCTACTCTTCAGCTGGATGTTATATAGTCACTAGCAGTCTGTTAATGAAAGAAAGGAATGTCTTAAAACTCAGAATGGCACCAGGCCCCTCATCCATAAAATGTATTTTGGGATAATCTTGGCACCAGACAATTCATCCCCGGCCATAAAACAATTGACTTGAACCTTGTAGAAGGGCAGATTACCATACAAATAGTTTCATTCACATAGATTAAGGGAACAATATCTGAGTATAACATAATGGTTTGTCAAGTAGGTTCTGAGCCGTTAGGCGGAACCGACTTGAAGATAGAGTCTGGGGTAAATGCATAGCACATTAACATAGCTTATGACAAACATTTCCATAAGAAAAATGCATTGGTTAACTCAAGGTTTGAGAACAGTTAACTTCAGGTGAAACCAGGTGTCATTATGGCAACACAGTAGTTTAAGAGAAACCTCCTTTTAAATTTGTATAGAGAAGGGAAAAAATATCGCTAGTTTGTTTCCTCCTGCTGCTTAAGAGAGATAAAAATGTCTGACACTTGCAGCCTATTTCCTCCATTTGGAGACCCCTGGCCTTCCTGCCTGTTACCCTCTCATACAGATGACACCACCTTTATGGTGGAAAGCAAAGAAGAACTAAAGAGCCTCTTGATGAAAATGAAAGACAAGAGTGAAAAAGTTGGCTTAAAACTCAACATTCAGAAAACTAAGACCATGGCATCTGGTCCCAACACTTCACGACAAATAGATGGGGAAACAATGGAAACAGTGACAGACTTTATTTTGGGGGGCTCCAAAATCACTGCAGATGGTGACTGCAGCCATGAAATTGAAAGACGCTTGCTCCTTGGAATAAAAGCTGTGACCAACCTAGACAGCATATTAAAAACCAGAGATATTACTTTGCCAACAAGGTCCATCTAGTCAAAGCTATGGTTTTTCCAGTAGTCATCTAAGGATGTGAGAGTTGGACTATAAAGAAAGCTGAGTGCCAAAGAATTGATGCTTTTGAACTGTGGTGTTGGAGAAGACTCTTGAGAGTCCCTTGGACTGCAAGGATATCCAACTAGTCAATCCTAAAGGAAATCAGTCCTGAATATTCATTGGAAGGACTAATGCTGAAGTTGAAACTCCAATCCTTTGGCCACCTGATGCAAAGAACTGACTCATTGGAAAAGACCCTGATCCTGGACAAGATTGGAGGTGGGAGGAGAAAGGGATGACAGAGGATGAGATGGTTGGATGGCATCACCGACACGATGGACATGCATTTGAGTAAACTCTGGGAGTTGGTGACGGACAGGGAAGCCTGACATGCTGCAGTCCATGGGGTTGCAAAGAGTCAGACACGACTGAGTGACTGAACTGATGAAGACCTACAATGCCTTCTAGAACTAACACCAAAAAAAGGTCCTTTTCATCATAGGGAACTGGAATGAAAAAGTAGGAAGTCAAGAGATACCTGGAATAACAGGCGAGTTTGGCCTTGGAGTACAAAATGAAGCAGGGCAAAGCTAACAGTTTTGCCAAGAGAACGCACTGATCATAGCAAAGAGTCTCTTCCAACAACACAAGAGACAACTCTACACATGGATATCACCAGATGGTCAATATTGAAATTAGATTGATTAAATTCTTTACAGCCAAATATGGAGAAGCTCTATAAAGTCAGCAAAAACAAGACCTGGAGCTGACTATGGCTCAGATCTTTATCTCCTTATTGCAAAAGTCAGGCTCAAATTGAAGGGATTAGATTTGATAGACAGTGTGCTGAAGAACTATGGACAGTGGTTCATAGCATTTTACAGGAGTTAGTGACCAAAATCATCTTCAAGAAAAGGAAATGCAAGATGGAAAAGTGGTCATCTGAGGAGGCCTTACAAATAGCTGAGAAAAAAAGAGAAGTGAAGGGCAAAGGAGAAAGGGAAAGATATAACCAACTGAATGCAGAGAATAGCAAGGATTTTTTAAAAAGCTCTTTTAAGTGAACAATGCAAAGAAATAAAGGAACACAGTAGAATGGAAAAGACTAGCAATCTCTTTAAGAATTGGAGATGCCAAGGGAATATTTCATGCAATGATAAGCACAATAAAGGACAAAAACTGCAAGGACATAACAGAGCAGAAGAGATTAAGAAAATGTGGTAAGAATACACAGATGAACTGTATAAAAAAGCTCTTAATGACCTTGATAACCATGATGGTGTGGTCACTCACCTAGAGCCAAACATCCTGGGCTGTGAAGTCAAGTGGGCCTTAGAAAGCACTACTACAATCAAAACTAGTGGAGGTGACGGAGTTCCAGCTGAGTTATTTCATATCCTTAAAGATGATGCTGTGAAAGTGCAACACTCAATATGCCAGCAAACTTGGAAAACTCAGCAGTGGCCACAGGACTGAAAAACGTCAGTTTTCATTCCAATCCCAAAGAAGGGCAATGCCAAACAATGTTCAACTCACCATACAATTGCACCCATTTCACACACTAGCAAGATTATTTTCAAAATCTTTCAAGCTAGGTTTCAGCAGTATGTGAGCCAAGAACTTCCAAATGTACAAGCTGGACTTAGAAAAGACAAAATTTAGAAATTGCCAACATCCTCTGGATCATGGAAGAAGCAAGGGAATTAAATATATATATGTATGCTACTGCTTCATTAACTACACTAAAGCCTTTGACTGTGGATCACAACAAACTATGGAATATTCTTAATGAGTTGTGAATACCAGCCTCTTGAGAGTCACTTGCACAGCAAGGAGATCAAACCAGTCAATCCTAAAGGAAATCAACCCTGAATATTCACTGGAAGGACTGATGCTGAAGTTTAAGATCCAATATTTTGGCCACCTGATGTGACGAGCCAACTCATTGGGAAAGACCTGATGCTGGGAAACACTGAGGGTAAGAGGAGAAATGGATGACAGAGGGTGAGACAGTTGCATGTCATCACTGACTCAATGGACATGAGTTTGAACAAACTCTGGGAGACAGTGAAAGACAGGGAAGCCTGGTATGCTGCAGCTCATGGGGTTGCAGACAAATGGACATGACTTAGCTACTGAACAATAACAACAACAATCCTTCTTCTGTGCTTTTTATTTCTTTATGTAGATCTGAGTTTTTGACTTGTATTATTTTCCTTCTCTCTAAAGAAGTCCTTTTAATATTCCTTGAAAGATAGGTGTCCTGGCAGCAACTTTCCTTAATTTTGTTTGTCTGATTAAGCCTTTATTTCTCTTTCACATCTAATATATATATATATATATATATATATACATATATATATATAATATGTACTATTTATATATATGTATAGAAAACTTATCTAGTGCACTTGAGAAAGAACATTTAAAAAAAGAGAGATTGAGAAACTGGAAAACATAAACTAAATCAAATGGGGGCACTGAATATGAAATAGAAAAAGTGAAACAAACTAGATAAAAGTGAAAAATAATCATATAGTCCAGTTGTTTTTAAACATGGCTGCTCATTAGAAACATATCTGGAGGTTTGGAGTGAAAAGCAATACCTGGGCATTTGTATTTTCCAAAAGCTTCCAAGATAATTCTGATATGCATCCTGGATCTTAAAAACTGATTACAGGTTTTTCTATTAAATGGTAATTTTTGTGATATGGAATTACATTATGTTTCTGTTGACCAATCATGATACAGTGGTGTTAACTGAGTAATAGTTACATAATCACAACAGTAAAAGCTGTTTATCAGTTTTCACAATCAACTGTTGTTCAGTTGCTCAGTCATGTCTGACGCTAGCCACCCAGTGAACTGCAGCATGCCAGGCTTCCCTGTCCTTCACCATCTCCCGGAGCTTGCTCAAACTCATGTCCATTGAGTCAGTGATGCCATCCAGCCATCTCATCCTCTGTCTTCCCTTTCTCCTTCTGCTGTCAATCTTTCCAAGCATCAGGGGCTTTTCTAATGAGTTGGTTCTTCGCATCAGGTGGTCAAAGTACTGGAGCTTCAGTTTCAGTCCTTCCAATGAATATTCAGGGTTGATTTCCTTTAGGATTGACTGGTTTGATCTCCTTGCAGCCCAAGAAACTCTCAAGAGTCTTCTTCAACACCACAATTCAAAAACATCAGTGTTCAGTGCTCAGCCTTCTTTATGCTCCAACTCTCCCATCTATACATAACTACTTGGAAAAACAATAGCTTTGCCTTTGTCAGCAAAGTAATGTCTCTACTTTTTAATTTGCTATCTAGGTGGGTCACAGTTTTTCTTCCAAAGAGCAAGCATCTTTTAATTTCATGGCTGCGGTCACCATCTGCAGTGATTTTGGAACCCAAGAAAATAAAATCTGTCACTGTTTCCATTGTTTCTCCATCTATTCACCAGGAAGTGATGGGACCGGATGCCATGATCTTCATTTTGAATATTGAGTTTTTTCACTCTCTTCTTTCACTTTCATTAAGAGGCTCATTAGTTCTTCTTTGCTTTCTGCCATAAGGGTGGTATCATCTGCATATCTGAGGTTATTGATATTTCTCCTTGCAATCTTGGTAGTCATGCTTCATCCACCCTCTCATTTTGCATTATATACTCTGCATAGAAGTTAAATTAGCAGAGTGACAATAAACATCCTTTTCATTATAGGGGACTGGAATGCAAAAGTAGGAAGTTAAGAAACACCTGGAGTAACAGGCGAGTTTGGCCTTGGAGTACAGAATGAAGCAGGGCAAAGGCTAATGGAGTTCTGCCAAGAGAATGCACTGGTCATAGCAAACACCCTCTTCCAACAACACAAGAGAAGACTTTACACATGGACATCACCAGATGGTCAACACCGAAATCAGATTGATTATATTCTTTGCAGCCAAAGATGGAGAAGCTCTATACAGTCAGCAAAAACAAGAACACGAGCTGACTGTGGCTCAGATCATGAACTCCTTATTGCCAAATTGAGACTGAAATTGAAGAAAGTAGGGAAAACCACTAGACCATTCAGGTATGACCTAAATCAAATCCCTTATGACTATACAGTGGAAGTGAGAAATAGATTTAAGGGACTAGATCTGATAGACAGAGTGCCTGATGAACTATGGACAGATGTTCATGACACTGTACAGGAGACAGGAATCAAAACCATCCCCAAGAAAAAGAAATGCAAAAAAGCAAAATGGCTGTCTGAGGAGGCCTTATGAATAGCTGTGAAAAGAAGGGAAGTGAAAAGCAAAGGAGAAAAGGAAAGATATACCCATTGGAATGCAGAGTTCCAAAGAATAGCAAGGAGAAATAAGAAAGCCTTCCTCAGTGATCAGTGCAAAAAAATAGAGGAAAACAATAGAATGGTAAAGACTAGAGATCTCTTCAAGAAAATTAGAGATACCAAGGGAACATTTCATGCAAAGATGGGCTCAATAGAGGGCAGAAATTGTAGGGACCTAACAGAAGCAGAAGATATTAAGAAGAGGTGACAAAAATACACAGAAGAACTATACAAAAAAGATCTTCACTACCCAGATAATCACGATGGTGTGATCACTCACTTAGAGCCAGACATCCTGGAATGTGAAGTCAAATGGGCCTTAGGAAGCATCACTATGAACAAAGCTAGTGGATGTGATGGAATTCCAGTTGAACTACTTCAAATCCTAAAAGATAATGCTGTGAAAGTGCTGCACTCAATATGCCAGCAAATTTGGAAAGCTCAGCAGTGGCCACAGGACTGGAAAAAGGCAGTTTTCATTCCAATCCCAAAGAAAGGCAATGCCAAATAATGTTGAAACTACTGCACAATTGCACTCATCTCACATGCTAGTAAAGTAATGCTCAAAATTCTCCAAGCCAGGCTTCAATAGTATGTGAGCTGAGAACTTCCAAATGTTCAAGCTGGTTTTAGAAAAGGCAGAAGAACCAGATATCAAATTGCCAACATCTGCTGGATCATTGAAAAAGTAGGAGAGTTCTAGAAAAACATCTATTTCTGCTTTATTGACTATGCCAAAGCCTTTGACTGTGTGGATCACATAAACTGTGGAAAATTCTGAAAGAGATGGGAATACCAGACCACCTGACCTGCCTCTTGAGAAACCTGTATGCAGGTCAGGAAGCAACAGTTAGAAGTGGACATGGAACAACAGACTGGTTCCAAATAGGAAAAGGAGTACATCAAGGCTGTATATTGTCACCCTGCTTATTTAACTTCTATGCAGAGTACATCATGAGAAGTGCTGGGCTGGAAGAATCACAAGCTGGAATCAAGATTCCCAGGAGAAATATCAATAACTTCAGATATGCAGATGACACCACCCTTATGGCAGAAAGTGAAGATGAACTAAAAGCTGAACGTTTAGAAAACTAAGAGCATGGCATCCGGTCCCATCACTTCATGGCAAATAGATGGGGAAACAGTGGAAACAGTGGCTGACTTTATTTTTCTGGGCTCCAAAATCACTGCAGATGGTGGCTGCAGCCATGAAATTAAAAGATGCTTACCCCTTGGAAGGAAAGTTATGACCAACCTAGACAGCATATTAAAAAGCAGAGACATTACTTTGTCAACAAAGGTCTGTCTAGTCAAGGCTGTGGTTGTTCCAATAGTCACATATGGATGTGAGAGTTGGACTATAAAGAAAGCTAAGCACAGAAGAATTGATGCTTTTGAACTGTGGTGTAGGAGAAGGCTCTTGAGAGTTCCTTGCACTGCAAGGAGATCCAACCGGTGCATCCTAAAGCAGATCAGTCCTGAATGTTCATTGGAAGGACTGATGTTCAGACTGAAACTCAAATCCTTTGGCCACCTGATGCGAATAGCTGACTCATTTGAAAAGACCCTTATACCGGGATGGGGAATACATGTAAAAAAAAAAAAAAAAAGATACACTATGGTTGTGATAAAAAAAAAAAAAATAAATAAAAATAAAATTAAAAAAAATAAATTAAAAAAAAAAAAGAAAAGACCCTTATGCTGGGAAAGATTAAGCATAGGAGGAGAAGGGGACGACAGAGGATGAGATGGTTGAATGGCATCACCGACTCAATTGACATGGGTTTGGATAGCTCTGGGAGTTGGTGATGGACAGAGAGGCCTGACGTGCTGTGGTTCACGTGGTCTCAAGGAGTTGTACATGACTGAGCGACTGAACTGAACTGAATATACATCCTCGACATACTTCTTTCCCAATTTGAACCAGTTCATTGTTCCATGTTGAGTTCTAAATGTTGGTTCTTGACTTGCACACAGGTTTTTCAGGAGACAAGTAAGATGGCCTGGTATCTATCTCTTGAAGAATTTTCAACAATTTTTTGTGATCCACACAGTCAAAGGCTTTAGCATAGTCAATGAAGCAGGAGTAGGTTTTTTTTTTTTTAAATCTCTTGCATTTTCTATGATCCAGCAGATGTTGGCAATTTGATATCTCGATCCTCTGCCTTTTCTAAATCCAGGGTGAACATCTGGAAGTTCTTGGTTCACATACTGTTGAAGCCTCACTTGGAGAATTTTGAGCATTACTTTGTTAACATGTGAAATGAGTGCAATTGTGCAGTAGTTTGAGCATTCTTTGGTATTGCCTTTTTTTGGGACTGGAGTGAAAACTGACCTTTTCCAGTCCTATGGCCACTGCTGAGTTTTCAAAATTTGCTGGCATAATGAGTACAGCACTTTCACAGCATCATCTTTTAGGATTTGAAATATCTCGGCTGGAATTCCATCACCTCCACTAGCTTTGTTCCTAGTGTTGCTTCTTAAGGCTTACTTGACTTCACACTCCAAGATGTCTGGCTCTAGGTGAGTGATCACAGCATCATGGTTATCTAGGTTATTAAGATCTTTTTTCATAGTTTTTCCATGTTTTCTTGCCACCTCTTCTTAATGTCTTCTGCTTCTCTTAAGTCCAAACCATTGTTGTCCTTTATTGTGCCCATCTTTGCATGAAATGTTCCCTTGGTATCTCTAATTTTCATGAAGAGATCTCTAGTCTTTCCTATTGTATTGTTTTCCTCTATATCACAATCAATAGCCAAATGAAAAATAAAATGTAATAACAATGGCAAGTCATAATGGCAACATGATTAAGCTAACAATATAAAATAATGACATACAATTTGGGGGGTCAAGCAGAGTGATGTGGTAAGTGGACACGCCCACATGCACTTGTTTTCTTCTCCCCAGCCAGTATATGTCTTATGTTGATGTATTTAATCTACTTACATTTAAAGTGATTATCAATATATATGATCCTATTACCATTTTCTTAGTTCTTCTGTCCTCATAGTGATGAGTATCCTCACCTGTCACGCAGGAGGCCAGGGTTCTATTCCCTGACGGGAAGGCAACACACCCTTTTGAACTTCCCTGGTGCCTCAGACAATAAAGCATCTTTCTGCAATGCTGAAGACCTGGGTTCGATCCCTGGGTCGGGGAGATCCCCTGGAGAAGGAAATGGCAACGCACTCCAGTACTTTTGCCTGGAAAATCCCATGAATGGAGGGGCCTGGTAGGCTATAGTCCTTGGGGTCGCAAAGAATTGGACACGACTGAGTGACTTCACACTGCAGTGATAAATAAACCAAACCAAAAACCTAGTTGTTTTGGGTTTATTTTCTGTAGGTCTTTTCCTTCTTTTGTGTTTCCTGCCTAGATATGTTCCTTTTTTAATCTTTGTAAAGCTGGTTTGTGAAGGTATTAATCAGTCAGCCGTGTCCTACTCTTTGTGACCCCCTGGACTGTAGCCCACCAGGCTCTGCTGTCCATGGAATTCTCCAGGCAGAAATAGTGGAGTGGGTTGCCCTACCCTGGAGAATAGAATTCCCATCCTCAGGAAATCTTCCCAACCCAGGGATTGAATCCAGTTCTCCTGCATTGCAGGAAAATTACAGTCGGAACCTATAAAATTACAGGGAGGCCTGTAAAGCTGATTTCTTGGTGCTGAATTCTCTTAATTTTTGCTTGTCTGAATAGCTTTTAATTTGTCCATCAAATATGAATAGTCTACTTGCTGGGTAGAGTATTCTTGGTTGTAGGTTCTTCCCTTTCATCACTTTAAATATATCTTGCCATTCCCTTCTGGCTTATAGAGTTTCTGTTGAGAAATCAGCTGATAACCTGATGGGAGTTTCCTTGTGTTATTTGTTGTTTTCCCTTTATGGCTCTTAATATTTTATCTTTGTGTTTAATTGTTGTCAGTTTGATTACTATGTGTCTTGGTGTGTTCCTCTTTGTGTCTATCCTGCCTGGGACTCTCTGGGCTTACTGGCCTTGGTTGACTATTTTCTTTCCCATATTAGGGAAGTTTTCAGCTACTACCTCTTCAAAACTAAGATCATGGCAACCAATCCCATCACTTAACAGCAAATAGATGGGGAAACAGTGGAAACAGTGGCGGACTTTATTTGTGGGTGCTCCAAAATCACTGCAGATGGTGACCGCAGCCATGAAATTAAAAGGCGCCTACTCCTTGGGAGGAAAGTTATGACCAACCTAGACAGCATATTAAAAAGCAGAG